TCTTTTCCGTCGCATCGGGTGGGCGTTGCGTGTATTTACGCTCCCGCGGCATTACGCCTCCATCCGGGTTACGGCTAGTGGAATTTCCGCTTACGTAATTCCGGTAACACGTAAAATCGTAGTCAAAATGTTAATGCATGGATTTTTATTACGGGTGAAGGATATTCCTTGTCATAGAATTCCGGGGATGGGAATATTTACTCTAATACTAAACATTTCTCACAATGTTAGCAACAAAATATCCTTTTCTGATTGGAAATAATCTCAAAGAGTGTTAATTCTATTCATTCGTCACACTATTTTCAGCATTATAGGGTAACTCTGAAGTCAGTCTAAAAGGGTAAGAAAAAAAATTCATGTACATGGGCGTCTTACAGACACAAATTGATCATTGATTATCTTTGAGGCTTCGGACTGCTTCTTTTCTAACGGTAGTTGCTTCTGTCATCATTTCTCGACTTATACTAAACGTTTTGCACAGTATAGCTTGAGAGTTGCATAAATAGTCAGAATACATAAAAAAAAAAAAAAAACACCAAAAAACAATGTCATCTGTATTGTTATTGAAGTGTCGGCCCCGAGTCCGACTCACGCCTCCTCCCGGAGACAAGGGGCGCGCGGCGGCGTCTCACCTTCTCCCGGGGATCCGCGGAGGGCCAAGGGCCGACACTGAAGTTCCTTCGTTGAGCCGCAGGCAGGGGGCGCACCAGAAGATTCTCTGATTTCGAGGCCGGAGTCAGTCAAAAACTAAGTACAAACTTAGTCAGGAGTCTAAGGTTCAGGCTGGTCACAAACGAGTTTATTTCATCAAAACCGGAGAGGTACAGATGTGCACATCGGAAAACTCTGAAATCCCCTCGAGATTAAACACGGGTTTTATAGCATTATGAGGGGCCAACCCCTCCCATTTCATTGGCTAGTTGCTATGGTCATTTATCAATTCTAATAGTATCTAAATGCGTTGTGTAATTCTGATTGGTTGCGGTCTTCTCGTCAGCCAAATTTTAATGGTATCTATGAACAACCTTATCTCGTGGTTCCGAGTTATAATGGTGTCACGCTGACTTCATTCTTAAAAAAATAATTGAGGCCCCTATTGGGCCTTTGTGTGATTGCACGTGGGTTTTGGATATAACTGTATCCTCGTAAGCATAGCGACTCAATGTATGCGAGTTTGGGGTCTTCGTTGGCTTGGCAACCTAATGAAATTACCGTCGAACAAGCTGGCTAGCTCAATGGTGGACATTCTTGCTAATCTGCTGATGACCATGTACATTTTTCTGCTTGACGGCCATATGCCTGTTTTCTCTGTTTAAGACGATTAGGTAACATATTCTCGTAACTTCAACGTGAACAGATATAAAACAGATACTACATTATCACTATGTGTTGGATGCACAGGGTATATTAAAGCAGGTAAACAGCAAGCCAAACTCAATCTTCATAGCCAGGAAAATGAGCATGTTGCTCCTTTATTACAGTCGTCTTGACATCTTACAGTGAACAACTGTGACATCAGCGTGATGAAAATGTTGACTGAAACAGAGGCGATTGCTCTACGACTGCAGAGGAAGCTCAGGTTCCCCTAAAAATTCAAAAAATAAGTGATCAAATACATGTGTGTATGTACAATTGTGTGGACTAGCATTGACTAAATATGCGCAACAAGGCGCTCAACTTTTGTTCCGAATCAGCTTCTTATCACTGGTTACGACGCGACTCTCTTCTCATTCATTCCGGCAGCTTCAATGTGTTTTAAACTGTGTGGACACAGAGTCTACAGCGCGGACGCTGGGCGTCAAGAGAGTTCAGAGTCCGTTGTCCCAATGCATTGAAACGAGACGAGTCATTGTATAAATGCTGGTTTTGTCCCACCCATTGGATGACAGTGGGCGTTTATCTTCTGGCCCGGACGCTCAACTTTTCTGCATGATGATTGGATGATCTGTCTGAGGCTGAATCTATTTTTGATTGAGAGTGAAATGAGCCAATCACCGATCTTTTGGTGTCGGGATCTGTGGGAGCATTTTTCAATTCTCATTCTGTTCTGAGTTGAACTGGAGACTTCTAATAATCTAAGCGACACTCTCTTTGTTGAAAATGACTAACAACAGATTAATTTATTTCTGGTGTGTTTTATTGTAGTTGCTTGTGTTTGTGTCACGTTGCGAGGTGGTGGTGGAGAGGACCCCAAAAAGGAGGCAGGAGGGAGGAGCAGGTTGTACTTGACAAATTGTATTGATAAAATACAGAAAAAACTAAATCCAAAACAAACAAAGTCCAAAGTATCAAACAAAAATCATGACTGAAGCTAAAACCGAACAGTGACTGAAACAAACATGACAGGAACAAACAAACAAATGACCCGACCCTGAGTGGTCATGCCAGGAGTCCTTTTAAAGAGCTAATGGCATAACGACCAACAGGTGTGGAGCTGCAGGGAGAGCCCTGCAGTGCCACCTCTGGGTCACAAACAGAATCATGACAGTTCGCAGACTGAGTCATATCACCACAGTAAAGACAGTGGAAAAGATGTCTTGTTGGTATAACAGGGTCACAGATCATTTTCTTAAAAAGGAACGAAGAGTAGAATTCACGTATAAATAAACCGACACATTTTGTGATGTAGGCCGAAATTGAGCTTGCCCTCCTTGACAGACCAGCATCCGCCACTAGACTGAAACTAGAATTAACAAATTTAAAACATGCATTAGCTTCTTGTACCTAAATAAATACACCAATTGTCCAATGCCAAACAACAGACATAAATGATTAAGTGTGACTATGGTCAAAACAGCATTTTTGCAATCTTTTCGAATAATAATTAGTAGTGATGGGTCCAGCAACACCGATGCATCGACGCATGCGTTGAGCTCACAGAGCAATCCACGTGTCTGTGCCTGTGCTGCTTTGTGACGATCACGTGACCAACACATGAACTGCGTCGACACAGTCCAGTCTGCGTCGACTCAGTCCAGGGGGCGTTGACGCAGCAAAAGCCCGCCACACAGGGTTTATAAGGATGTGCATCTAGCAACACGATGCCACCTGCCGAAACAAGCCAGACTGTCACGTTGCGAGGTGGTGGTGCACCCCAGAAAGCAGGCAAGAGGGAGGAGCAGAGTGAACTTGACAAATTGTATTAAAACATAGAGAAAACTAAATCCAAAACAAAGTATCAAACAAAAACCATGGCAGAAGCTCAAAACTAATAGTAACAAAAACATGACCTAAACATGACAGAACAAACAAACATGACAGCAGCAAAGAAACGGCAACAATGACCCGACAATGAGTGTTCCTTTTATACAACTAATTACCCAATGACCAACAAGTGTGCAGCTGCAGGGGGAGCCCTACAGTGCCACCTGTTGGTCCCAAACCGAATCATGACACAGATCTTATCGAATAAAAATATATATTTTGGGAAAAAGGAAAACATACAGATTATCAGAAAAACGTGTCCGTCTGACTTCGAGCGTCGTGTCGGCTAGGCTAGCTTAGCTGTTGTCGTAGTTCAAAGCTTCTTTAATATGCAACGTGGGTTGCGTCGGCGTCGTGAGTACATGCTCGTGCTCACACGCGCACAGCAGAGAGCAGCGGACTATCGACTGCTGAGGCACGCTCACTCGAGTGACGTTGCTACAGTACGTGCATATTATGGAGCAGCTTCCGGACAAATGCAAATTGTCTGCCGTGTAGAGCCATTTTGATCTCCTTTTGGAGAATAAGGTATTGATTCAAATCTTGTCTCACCAAGTAAGTGCCTCTCGGATGTTTGACATGTCTTATTCCATTGTCTTATTCCATTGTGTGTGTGTTCTTCACTGCAGGGGAAATAGCATGCAAGAAACTCAACAGACTGAAATTTAAAACACTGGAGCATCTTATTTTTCTAAATAAAAATTTGTGAAGACAAAGTCCACAAGCATCCTCATTCACATGATTTTCACATTATTGAAACACATTGAATGATACAATATGAATGCATGGAGGTGAATGATAATTGTATACACTTCATCATCAAATCAGTCAGTTCAGTCTGTCAAGTGGGTTGGCTGCAGGGATTTTGAAGGTCCAGCAGGTGGCAGTGGTCAGTGACACAGTATCAGCACAGTATCAACACAGTGTGTCAGTGTGTGGACACGCCTCATGGACCCATCACTGCTAATTAGATCGTTAGCACTAATTGAGAGGCATTGCTACATTCATACATAGTACTCCGAACGATCAAGTACAATCTCCAAAACAGATCCCTAAATACCTCTAAACACAATCAAACAAAGCCATTGCTTTCCGAGGTGTACAGAAAAGGAATGTAACACGGCAGGACCAGTTGGAATGACCACAGTCAGGCTTTCTGCAGCGACTCGTTTGATGAAACACGACGTCTGCTACCCACAATGCATTGCGATTACTAACTACGTTTTCAGACTAAAATACGGGTAAACAAACGCTGACTAGATGGAGATTATTTTAAACACAATTACCTTTTGCGTGGAATAACATGAATTATGACGTTTCAAGTGAGGAAATGTTATGAACCCCCTTTTTTTTCTTCTCACCTTTATGAAACGCCTTTGAAACTCTTACTGTGGGCAGAGACCGCCATCCATATCCAATCACTGAACACGTCGTGACTTAACTGCCAAATTTTACATTTACAGTGATAAAGCTCGAAGTTTCTGCTCTTGTGTAGATCTATATTTAGAAATCCTGCCCCATGCATGCACAAATGCAATATGACTTGAGATCATAAATTCTTTGTTAACTCACTCCATCATGAATTGATATGTTTCAGGACATGATTAGGGGTGTTCACACAACAACTTTTACTCCGGTGTAGCACCGGGCTGCCCCCGTATCGCGTTCACATGTACAAAGTTATACCGGTGTAGCCCCTGAAAACAGCTTAAACCAGAGCAAATTTAACCCTGCTTAGGAGGTGGTTTAAAAATTTACTCCGGAGTAAATACTAATTTGCGGGGCAGCACCAATATAAAATGGGACGTGTGAACGCTACAGGGGTAGACTCGCTACGCGTGAGAAGAGTTGATTACATACGGGTATTGAATGCATTGCTTTTGTGCTCTGTTGTACTTCCGCCATCTTTCCACAGCGTTGATTTGTCTGGAGAAGTATAAACCATGGTTTTTCGATATGTCACAAACAAGGTGGGGAAAAGGAAGTTCACTTTACACATGCGCATGTTTTATTTCCGTATTATTGTTATCGTATTGCACGACTGCAGAAACTGCCGTGTGAACGTAAGTGGGTCTGCACCGGGGTTAACATGCTTCTCTTTAATAAACAGCTTTATCCGTGTGAACGCTCCTCAAAATTTACACCGGTGTAAGATATATTGCAACAAAACACATCGGTGCAGCACCAATGCAAATGTATGCTGTGTGAACACCCCTATTGTTAGTTCATACTTTTAACTCTAGTCTTCCAATTTCACAATAAGGGAAGGCAAAATACAAGCCAATGATAGCAAAGTTGTAGCTAAATTTAGATAATTTAAAGATCATCATTTCTGCCACTGCAGTGATGGTTCTTCTCATATTTTGAGAGAAATGTGCTGCTTGTGAATGTAATCCATCCAACTATTTAATATGATCAGGATATTCTGGCAAGTATCAGTGCAACAGAAGCAGTTATAGAACAAATCATTTGAAAAAAACATGGACAAGTAACACTCACAAGCCATCCAAATAAAGGCCTTCATTGTATACTGGCACATTCTACCTACCTCCAGAAAATTAACAATATCTCACAAACGTACACTCACTTCCATCACCCTACCACTTGACACAAACAAAAAGTGCATCTATGATTTACAGACATCTTTCGAAACATCTCGTGAACTTTGACCTGGCTCTTTTCTTCTGAAACATAATGATCTCCTCTTTCTTACCGTCATTATGTCCAACCTTACCTGCCTGTCTCATTTTTCAACTTTCCCTACTTCCCTTTTTAACTTCTTACCGTCATCATTTTCACTTGCCTCTTTCCCGCTATAAGTATCCAAAACCTTTCATACCCATCCCTATCCATTTTCTTTTTGTCATCTTTACACATAGTTCTCGTAGTGTCGGCTGAAATAATGAAGCTTAGCTGGTGGTATGAAGTGTCCTTTTAATTCCTTGAGGTGCCATACGAAACCTGTTACACCGTAAGAGCTAGAAAATAAGACAAACATGATGCCATGAATCATGCTTATACACGCACATGTAAAAATTAAGCATGTATTTGCATCACAAACATAACTCAGACAAACGAAAACATATATCTTGTTACCACTTTCAACCGGACTAAGCATCTCCAACCTGTTCATTTTGTCATCTGTGAATCCGTTTAACCTCTTCCATGGTTCACTGCCAAACTCAGGCAACTTAGAAAAGAGAAAGAGGCCACATTTAGAAGTGGAGATAGGGCATGGTACAAACACGCCCATAACCAATTGACAAAGGAAATTAACATCGCAAAAAGAAGCTATGCAGAGAGGCTGAAAAAAACTGTTTTCTGCTAATGACTGCATCTGTGTGCACTGGCCTGAAAGCAATCACAAACAATAGGACACCATCCCCCCAAGCAGTGAACGATAAGAGTCTGGTTGATGAACGAAACATGTTTTTTGCTGATTTGAAAAGGACAACCACATTTCCCACATCTGCCCACCTCTACCAGAAACTACTCTATCCATGCCCCCGCCCTCATTCTCTGCACTACAGATGCACGAACAGGATGTGAGACGGCTCTTAGAGAAAGAGGCCACATTTAGAAGTGGAGATAGGGCATGGTACAAACACGCCCATAACCAATTGACAAAGGAAATTAACATCGCAAAAAGAAGCTATGCAGAGAGGCTGAAAAAAACTGTTTTCTGCTAATGACTGCATCTGTGTGCACTGGCCTGAAAGCAATCACAAACAATAGGACACCATCCCCCCAAGCAGTGAACGATAAGAGTCTGGTTGATGAACGAAACATGTTTTTTGCTGATTTGAAAAGGACAACCACATTTCCCACATCTGCCCACCTCTACCAGAAACTACTCTATCCATGCCCCCGCCCTCATTCTCTGCACTACAGATGCACGAACAGGATGTGAGACGGCTCTTCAAGCAGCAGAAGATCAAGAAATCTGTGGGGCCCGACAAAGTGTCCTCCTGCCTGAAAGTCTGCGCTGAACAGCTGGCTCTGGTCTTCACACAAATCTTCAACAGATCACTGGAGCTGTGTGAGGTCCCAACCTGGTTCAAACAGTCTGCCATCATCCCAGTTCCCAAAAAAACAGCAACATTGGAACTCAATGACTATAGGCCTGTTGCTCTGACGTCTGTGGTCATGAAGTCCTTTCAACGCCTTGTGCTGAACCACCTCAAGAACATCACCGGACCCCTGCTGGACCCTCTGCAGTTTGCCTCCCGGGCAAACAGGTCTGTGAAGGATGCAGTCAACATAGGGCTGCACTACATCCCCGAGCTCCTCGACAGCACAGGGACCTATTCAAGGATCCTGTTTGTGGATAATAGTTCTGCGTTCAACACCATCATCCCGGAACTCTTTACGCTCAAACTTCGCCAGCTCGGTGTGTCCCCGACGATCTGCCAGCTTACTGACGGAACGGGCACAACAGGTGAGGCTGGGAAGGACAGCATCATCAACAGCACCACCAGCACTGGAGCCCCGCAGGGATACATCCACTCTCCACTGCTCTTCTCCCTCTACACGAACGATTGCGCCTCAATACACCCAGCTTTCAAACTCATAAAGTTCACAGACGATACCACAGTCATCGGTCTAATCAAAGACGGCTCCAGGTCTGCGTACCAACAAGAAGTGGAGCAGCTGGTGCTCTGGTGCAGCCAACACAACCTGGAGTTGAACACGCACTGGACGGTAGAGCTGATGGTGGACTTCAGGAAACATCCTTTACCACAGGTGCCCCTCACACTATCCAACTGCCTGTGCCAACTGTCGAGACCTTCAAGTTCCTGGGAATCACAGTCTCCCAGTACATGAAGTGGGAGATCAACACCAACTCCATCCTGAAAAAGGCCCAGCAGAGGATGGACTTCTTGAGGCTGCTGAGGAAGCATTGTCTGCCACAGGAGGTTCAGGAGACAGTTCTACACACCAGTCATTGAATCAATCCTGTGTTCTTCAATCACGGTTTGGTTTGGGGCTGCCACAAAAAAGGACAAAATCCGACTGCAACGGACAGTTTGGACGGCGGGAAAAAATCATTGGCACCGCCCTACCAACTCTTGAAGGGCATGGAAAATCCTCCTGGACTCCCGACACCCTGCCCACCACCTTTTCTAGCTACTCCACTCAGGCAAGCGCTACCGAGCCATGAGCACCAAATCCAGCAGACACTCAACCAGCTTCTTCACTCCAGCCATTAACAACCTAAACGGTAACCCAAATCTCCCTGTATAGTGACTCTTTGCAACTTTGCAATTTTGCACAACCCTGTGGAACAGCATTACCGCTATAATCATTGTCGCTCCAGCTCTGTACTTACTTGAACCATTGTCACTGATCATTATTCCACAGCACCAGACACTTTAAAGCGCTCAAGGACATCTGCACAATTGCATGCTTGCTGTACTACAAATACTGCTGCTGGTCACTTTAAAATGGTGCAATGATTTTCTGCACCAACTGCACAACTGTTATAGTATTGTATTCTACCACTGATCACTTTAGCTCTGATTGATACTTTGCACACTGTCTCACAGCTGTCATTGGATGGTACCACTGCACAACGGTGCTCTTACAGTACGGAATGTCTTTCCATACTTATTTGTCATGTCCTTGTTTATGATGATACAGTGATCCCTCGCTATTTCACGGTTCGTTTATCGTGGCTTCAGTGCATCGCAGATTTTTCATTTAAAAAAAAAAAAAAAAGGTCCGCGAAAAGTCCGCAAAACGTCCGCAAAAGGTCCGCGAGAAGCAGCGAAAGTCAGCAAAACAACAGCGAGTCACATAGAGCAACATATACAGTACTACATGTACATGTTTACTGTACTGTATTTCGTTATTCATAAACTAACCTAACTTATACATGTTTAAATCTATTAGTATACAGCATTAAGTCATGTTAATCACTTCAAAATGTACTTCTACATGTATGTATACCGTTAAATTTGGCCTTATACATATTATGTACATGTACCAATATGGAGGGGCGGGCGGTCGCTACTTCGTGGATTTTCATTTATCGCGGGTGATTTTGGTCCCCATTAACCCCGATAAACGAGGGATTACTGTACTAGTGTAGCCTGTACTACCAGAGACAAATTTCTTGTGTGTTCGACATACTTGGCCGATAAGGATGATTCTGATTCTGATTGGGATGAATAAGAGCGGAGACTGAGAGCCAGGCATTCTCGACCAACATCAGTGTGAGCGTGTGTGTTTGTGTGTGTGTGTGTGTGTGTGTG